AATCTTCCGATTAGTGGACGACCCACTCTTCCTCTGAGCCACAGCCGCCCATTAGTGCTCTGGAACATGTTTTCTTTTGGACAGCAGTGGTGTCCTCCCATGAACTCCATTCTTGTTTAGTGTTTTATGTATCGTAGCTTCATCAACAGAGATGTTAGCATGTGCCAGAGATTTTTGTAAGTCTTTAGCCGACACTAGGATTCTTCTTCACCTCATTAACCATTCTGCTGTGCTCTTGCAGTCATCTTTACAGGACGGCAACTCCTAGGGAGAGTAGCAACAGTGCTGAACTTTCATTTATAGACAATTTGTCTAACCGTGGACTGATGAACATCAAGGCTTTCAGAGATTTTGTAACCCTTTCCAGCTTTATGCAAGTCAACAATTCTTAAATCGTAGGTCTTCTGAGAGCTCTTTTGTGCGAGGCATGGTTCACATCAGGCAATGCTTCTTGAGAATAGCAAACTCAAAACTGGTGTGTGTTTTTTATAGGGCAGGGCAGCTTTAACCAACACCTCCAATCTCGTCTCATTGATTGGACTCCAGGTTGGCTGACTCCTGACTCCAATTAGCTCTTGGAGAAGTCATTAGCCTAGGGGTTCACATACTTACTTTTTCCACCCTGCACTGTCAATGTTTACATGGTGTATTCATTAGAAACACGGAAACATATAAATGTGTGGTATTACTTTAAGCAGACTGTGTTTGTCTATTGTTGTGACTTCGATGAAGATCAGAACACATTTTATGACCAATTTATGCAGAAATCCAGGTAATTCCAAAGGGTTCACATACTTTTTCTTGCAACTGTGTAATAGTATGTGTATGTATTTGTACATTTGAGATGTTCCACAAATTAAGACATTATTTCATTAAAAAAAAAACATGAAACTCAATTACTTCTTTTTCAATTCAAACTTAGTGGGAAAAGGTTTAGCCAAATTAGGTTTTCTAACTTAATTTTCTTGCAAATGATGGGAGCTAAATCTAGATAATAATAATAATAATCTAGATAAGGGATTTGAGGGGACTCAGATACTGCATGCAGACAGAAGATCTGTGGTAGTGGAATGACATGGAGGTGCCAGCAGAGGCTGCACAGTGACTGTACAGTTTTTTTTATGTCACCAAATGAGCTATTAATGCTAAACAGAGTACTTGATTCACTATAAGCAAGTGTTGACCTCTGACCTGATCTGGCTGCTGGTCAGTGGCAAGATGTTGTACGGCTCTTGAGAGTTCACACTGCTGCCCCGCAAGGAAAACTGCTTCTCTGAGCCTGTCAGCAGCCCCAGCAGCACCTGAAACACAACCTTGCATCAACCTCTGAACAACCATTCAGCACTGTGTATTATGTTGGCTGTTAGATCTGGACATTATCAGACAATTGAGACATCCTTGACTTATCTCAGGCCAAATGTGAATGGCGGTTCTACACATTTAGTGCTAATGCTTTTGCTAAAAAGTACCGAGGTTCTCTGGGACAGACGGTTGAGGTTAGAGTTCAGAGTAGGTGTGAACACATCCAGGTCGAATGGGTCGATGTAGCTCTCCAGCCAATCGCAAACATCGTTGAATCTGAAAGACACACAACACAGTAATTGCAACTTTCAGAGACTGTCAGGATTTACATTTAAAAAGGAATTCAACAACCCAAATATAGAACCAAAGTTGGGAAAAATATGAATGGGAGTTGTAGAATTGAAATACTACTAATTGCTTATACATTCTTATACAACCAATTTACATTGTCATAATAGTATGTTAAAACTGCCTATGTTTACTGTTTGCTAAGGGCCCTTGATGAAATGTTGGGCTTTCTTCCACGGCCAGGCAGGTTTGCAGCTGTTCCATAAGTTTTAAACTTCCTTATAATGCTCCCAATGGTGTCTCTTGGAATATAAATTTTTTGGGAAATATTCTTATACCCAAGGTCCTTCAGGTGTGATGAAATAATCTCCTCTCACAGCTTTTTTGGAAGCTCCTTTATCTTTCCCATGATTGCAACTCACCTACCTTCATGGGTGGGGTTTATATATTCATCACAGCTGAAGCAAATGAAGGTATCATGTATAGAGTTCCCAAAGGCCTAATTATCTCACTTTCTAGGCCATAATCTGCCCAAGCTTTAAAAACAGCAATTATATACGGGGTTGAATAACTGTGACATGGCTATCTTAAAAAATATTCTGTGTTGTTTTATGCTTCACTCAACTCATAAGAAGTCATTCGACAGCGAATCTGCTCTTTGAAAATGTTAATTGATAAATTCTTAAATCTTCGGCGAGGGGAATATTTCTGATTGCAACTGTACATTTCACAGTTTTAAGTCAGCTAATGTTAGAAAACATTGCTTCCACAGACGCCTGCAAGCAGTGCCCTCCTAGCTTCACAACTGACCTTCCTAAGCCCCGCCCCTTTTTTCGCTCTGTGCTCCAATAACAGTTGAACAAACCTCGGTTAACTTTCTCCTTTCCTGTACTTACACCGATCAGCATAAACATTATGAGCACCTGCCTAATATTGTGTAGGTCCTTTTGCCACCAAAACAGCCCTGACCTATCGGGGCATGGACTCCACTAAGACGTCTGAAGGTGTGCTGTTGTATCTAGCACCAAACACCTTAGCAGCAGAT